CTGTCAGGACATTCCCAACAACTTGAAAGAGATCACTCATACTTGTACTTTGGGTTAGGCTATTCAATTATGGGATATCTCAGTTCGCACGCAGATGAGATCTCGGATGACTATACCCACGCACAGGAAGCATCCATTGATCACAAAAGACTATGACGCCTGGTGGTCGACTCGGTCAAATAGTGTCTCTTCAACTTCCTTTAAATTCACCGTTAAGATCCCTCAGCAATCATCGAAGAAGGGTAAGGTTACCTCTGCCAACGAGTCAGTGCATCATAATAGAGCTATAGAGATTGTAACGGGTCTTACCTCATCCACCTTGCTGAAGAACAAAATTATTCGCAGTCCCTCCAAAAACATTGTCACAAAAAATAAGTCTTCCAAGAACTCTTGACAGGCCATCAAAGAGGCGCAACTAGTGATTCCAGCAAAGAAGACGCCGCCCAAAGTTTCAAAATCCTTATCGATGACTCGCACAGAAGAAGATGTCGAAATTGAAACGGTGGACGATCGTGATTCTATCGAGGCTATAGAAAAGGAAGGGACTCAAGTTCAGGGCATCGGATCTACCCAAGGAGGAGCCCATTCATTGGCGAGCGATAGTAGTAGTCAAGACCGTCACTAGAACCGATCAAAGAAGAGAACATCTTCTGATTTGGAGGAGGTTTCCTTTACACCACCGTCAGTTGGAGTGTCGCCACTTAAGGTAATCATCTCTCCATTTTTTTTTCTTTTTTTAGTAATTTTTTTTCTTTTCAGCCCTCGTTTCTTGAATTCCGTCAAGAAGATGTTGGTAACAATTCACCACCTGAACTCGAAGCTGATGATATAATTTCAAACAACAAAGGTGACGAAGTAGCTATCAGTACTCCAAAACAATTTGCCCCCAGTGGAGGTACCTCGTCAATGCGTAAGAAGGAGTTAACTGGTTCGCGCGAGATCCGAAAGAGACCTAAACCAGCATTGGTTTCAGAATTTCACGGGCAAAAATTGATCCAAGCGCATCGACATAGATACTTGCAGCGTTTGTGGATGGATTTTTCTTGACACTTCTTTTGAGCAGATCTCTTCTTTAAAAGAGTGCGCAGAGGAAATTATTGCGGAAATCACAAGAACGGATCCTACCAATGGTCTCCTTTTAAAGGACTTCTTGATAGAATTGTTTGCCAAGGCAGAGGCATATGATATTTTGGCATCTTCGTCATCGGAAAAGATGAGTAAAGAAACACATACAGAACTCCTTTCCAAAGTGACCGCCTAACTCAGGAGAGTTAAGGCGAATGAAGAAGAACTAACTCGTCATCTGCAAAGTCTTGAAGAAAAGTTGCAGTCTATTGAAGACAGGAAGGAAGTTCTGCAACAGGAACTTATCAATTTGGAGAAACAAGGTCTGAAAATCAGCTCAACTATCGATCAAAAGTATGAAACTTTCAAAGAGATCCATACCGAAATAACCCGGGCACATGATGAGCTCTCTTTTATTGAAAGTACCAGCATCTTGACTGATGACGCAGTGAAAGAACTTGAAGACATGAAGTCTGCACTTGAATCATGCAAAATAGTTGTAGTAGATTACAAATTTAATATTTAGACTTTTCACCATGTCTTTTTTCTGAATTTTTTTTCTTTTTTTTCCCCCTGTAATGAATTTTTTTTTTATGAATAATAAAATGCTTTTCATTTCTTATCTCTTATTATATATTTTTTTTTCTAAGAGAAAATAACTTTTAAATTTAGCATTTTATTTCAAAGAAAAAGAGACGATTTTTTTTTTTGCAAAGAAAGAGGGTTTGGATTAGGAGGTGTAACTAAACTTAGAAATTGCCCTCTAAGCTGCTTACGTATCCCAACAAGGGAATCAAGTCACACGTAGTTCCTGCCGTTCACAGTTTAATCTCATGCGGATCAGGAGTATCTATTTGTTTACCACCTTAGACTTGGTGGAGTGTTTCAGCAGTTTAACCACATACTACACTATTGGTGGTTGCCATTCACAGTTTTAGCTCGTGCGGGTCAGGAGCATCGTGTTGTTCCGATTATGCGTAGTACCTTTTTAGGTATTTGCCGTTGATGGGGCCAACCCTTAATCCATCCTCAGCAACCAATTTGTATGAGCCATTTGTATACACTTCTCGAACAACATATGAGCCATCCCACTTAGGAGTAAACTTTCTTTGTCCGCCATAAGTGAGAATGATCGGTTTCCGAACAGCGAGTACTAACTCTCCAATTTGGAAAGAGCGTAGCCGGGCATGCTTATTGAATACTTTTGAAAAGCGAGCTTGATAGCACTCAATTCGTTGTTGAATTTCCAATCTCTTTTCGTCGAGTGCTTCTAACTCTTCAAGGCGAAGACGAACATTATTTTCTTCACTGAGCCCTTCTTGAGTCGCAATTCTTAGCGAAGGTATTTGACACTCAAGTGGAAGAATAGCTTTAACATCGTAAACAAGCGAGTATGGGGTCGCTTGCGTGGGAGTTCGAAAAGTAGTTCGATATGCCCAAAGTGCTTCTCCAATTCGAAGATGCCAATCCCTTTTCGATTTATCCACAATTTTCTTCAACAGATTACACAAGGTCTTGTTGAATGCTTCAGCGAGTCCATTTGCAGTAGTGTAGTACATGGACGAATTGTATTGTTTGAAATGAAACTTTTCGCAAAGCTTGTTCATTGCTACATTGCAAAAAGACTTACCATTATCGGTGATGATATAACGCGGAACTCCATACTGATAAATGATGTGCGAGCGAATGAAATCTACTACATTCTCCTTTTTGACCTCTCTTAGAGGAACCGGTTCGGTCCATTTGAGAAATAATCCATCGCTGCTAAGATGAAAATATGTCCTCCAAAAAATTTTGGGAGTGGTCCAACTATATCCAAACCCCAAGCATCGAATGGCCAAGAAGCCACAGTTGGATGCAATGGTTCAAGAGATTGACAGATGAAATTGCCATGGAATTGACAAGCTTGACATCTTCTAGCGAAATCGATATAGTCCTTTACCATCTTTGGCCAGTAGTATCCCATTCTCTTAATGTGAAAATGTAATTTTGTGCCAGATTGGTGAGCACCACATATCCTAGAGTGAGCCTCCTCCATTACTTGCATGGCCTCATCTTCTCCAAGATATCGTAGAAACACCCCATCGAATGATCTTCGGTAAAGCGTCCCTTTGTAGTAAATGAAACGTGGCGCTCGACGACGTATATCAACCTTTTTCTTTGGATCTTCTGGTAACTTCCCATGATGAAGGTAATCAATGATGAGGTGACGCCAATCCTCCTTTTCGATCTCATGGACAAAAATATGATAAGTATTTTCTTCCTCACCACCATCTTTTTCATCAAACATCGGGGGTATGAACCAACTTTGACATATTGAAATTTGATTTCGATGAGAAGGTAGAGTGATCATGGACGCCAACCTTGCCAAAGAGTCGGCTTGTTGGTTGAAATTACTAGGGATATATTCTATAGTGACATTATCTAAATATCCCATGAGTTGCATACTTATAATATGGGATCAATTCAGGCTTCTTGACATCATAAATACCAAGAAATTGATTTACCACTAATTTGGAACCACCATAGACCCTAAGATGCAACTGCTTCATGTCTACAGCCGTTTCTAGATCGAGAATCAATGCCTGGTATTCGGCCACATTATTTGAACACCGACGTGTTAAAGTGAAAGAGTATGGCAATATATCTGATTCAGGAGTATAAAAGATAACTCCTGCACCAGTTTCGTCACGGTGCGCAGCTCCGTCGAAATACATCGACCATGGGGATTCGATCATAAACACTTCTTCATCGGGGAGTTCATCAGTCAACTCCCACTCGGCAGGTATGGGATGGTCGGCTAAAAAGTCTGCCAATATTTATCCTTTGACAGCCTTCGCAGGTACATAAATAATTTCGAATTGTTGAAACTGGAGGTACCATCTTGCGAGCCGATCAGATAGTACAAGTTTTGTCATGATATATTTAATGGGATTAAACTTAGATATGAGTCGAATAGTGTGTGCTAGAAAATAATGTTTCAACTTCTGAATGACAAATATAAGTGACAAATACAACTTCTCGATGGGTGAGTAGTTTAACTCATTAGATGTCATCATCCGACTCAAGTAATACAGCGCATTCTCCTTACCTTCATCATTTTCTTGAGCAAGTAAGGCCCCAACCGATCGTTCTTGAGCGAAAATATAGAGAATCAATGATTTTCCTGGAATGGGCGCAGCCAATACTGGGGGATTCATGAGGTACATTTTGATGCTTGTAAAAGTATTCCTACACGATTCATTCCACTCGAAGGGTACCCCTTTCTTCATCAGTCGATTGAAGGATTGGCATCGTCCGGTTAAATTAAAGATAAACCTCCGGATATAAGCCAACTTCCCTTGAAGGCTCTTCAATTCATGAATATTTCGCGGTTCAGGTATGTTCACAATGGCATCAATTTTAGATCGATCGACCTCTATCTCCAGTTGATGAACGATGAAACCGAAAAACTTGCCAGAAGTGACTCCAAATGCGTACTTCGAAGGATTCATCTTCAGTTGGTATCTCCGAAGGCGTTGGAAAACTCTTCGAAGGTCTTGAATATGATCTTCTCGCTTCTTCGATTTCACCACAAGGTCATCTACGTAGCACTCCACATTTCTATGGAGCATATCATCAAAAATTCTTTGCATTGCCCTTTGATATGTCGCTCCAGCATTTTTCAAGTCAAACGGAATTACTTTATATCAATAAATTCCTTTGGGGGTGCGGAAGGCAGTGAGCTCCTCATTCTCGGGCGCCATGCGTATTTGATTGTAGCCAGATAATCTATCGAGAAAAGATAGTGCTTCATGCCCAGTTGTAGCATCTACCGTCAATTCTGTGATGGAGAGTGGAAAATCATCTTTGGGGCAGGCCTCATTTAAGTCTCGAAAATCAACACAAATTCGGATTTGCCCATTCTTCTTTCTTACAGGGACGATGCTTGAAATCTATGTTGGATATTTTACTTCTTGTATGAATCCAGATTCAATCAATCTATTTATCTCATTTTCTATCAAAGGAATCAATTCGAGTCGAAAACGTCTCTGAGTTTGCTTGACAGGTTTTGTTCCTCGCTTGATCGACAAGTTATGAACAGCGACTCTTGGATCCAAACCAGGCATTTCTGAGTAATTCCAGGCAAACACATCCTTGAACTCGAGCAGCAAATCAACATACTCTTTTTCTTCTTCAGGAGTCATACAAAAACTTATGTAAATTGGGCGAGGGTCGTTACTTGTGCCAAGATTAATCTCTTTTAGCGCATCGACTGTATTTTTTACTCCTTGTTCAAATTCAACGGGAGCGTCATCTGCATCATCTTCTTCTTCTTCAGGATCACTGATCGTAATATGATGGCAAAAAGCAATACTTTCTTGACCCTGTTCTTCAAAAATAGTTTCGATCCTTACGTTAAACAAGTCTCCATAATGCATAAAGAAATTGGAAACTCGTTTCCTCACACCATTCTTCTTTATTGGAGTAAAATCTTCTTCCTTGACAATTTGGTACCCTTGTTTTTTGCTGCCCAATTTCTCATAGACGTGCGGTTTCAAATTTTTTGGCTGCAGGCCGAGTCAGTCGAACACAGAAGTACGCTTTGACTTATTTTCCAATCTGTCGAAAATCGATCTCTTTCGGCTTGTGACCTCTATTTCTTCGTTCACATAGTTACACCTTGCCCTTTTGATCATTATACGAACCGGAGAGGGCGGTTGATAACCAAGACCCATCGATGAATTCTCAATGTTATACCCTCTTTCTTTCAACATTTTCTGCGTAGGTGTCAATCCGTGGGTCTTCTCGCCAGTCACTTCAGGAGGGAGTTTGTCTAATGCATTCTTCTCATTTGGGTTATAACCCACCTTAGCAACAAGTCTATATGCGTTTGGATCAAAACCTTCTTGAGTCCGATTAGTTGGTAGTGAGTAATGTTCTACTGCCGGTTCTTCTTTGGGACGGACAAAACCTTGCAAGCTCACTTTCTCACTTTTAACCGACTCTATTTTGGTGAGCAGAACATTTAATGTGTCATTCCTGATAAAAGAAGACTGACCTTCTTCTTTCTTTGATCTTGGAATATAACGCAAAATGGGTACTTTGGAATCTTGACTTTCTTCCCTTGCTGACTCTTTTCCTTTTGCTTCTTTTTTAAGATAAAATTTGGCGTCGGTAAAGTGAGTCTCGGCCTCCGTGAAAGGTTTATCATCGGCAGTAACTTTTCTAACTACACCGTCTCGATAATATTTGAAACATTGATAAAGAGTAGACTGTATAATTTCATTCTCATGAGTCCAGGGTCTTCCCAAGAGCATGTTATAAGAGATTCTGGCGTCAATAATATGAAATAACGTACTCGAAGACAACTCACCAATACGCAATTCAAGCCTTATGAGGCCAATCGCTCTTTGCCCCCCTTGGTTGAATCCTTGGATCATGAGGCGGCTCTAGGAGAGTTCATCGCTTGATATTCGTAGTTTTTTCATAGCACGTACGGACATGATATTGACAACAGATCCCCCATCGATGAGTATCCGATTCATCTTCTGTTCTTGGACATATGCACTAACAAACAAAGGTCGATTGTGGGTTTTGAAATCAACTGTTAAATCGTCATCATAAAAAATGATAGCCGTTGCACAATCCACCGGTGGTTTATCATCTACTTTGAGTTTTTCTCAACTTCAGTGCTAATTTGTGCGACTTGAGGATTTTTAGCTTTGACGACATTACAAGAAGTGGAATTATCATCGTCGTCACTTAAATACCCCTTAGGCATAAATTCCCTCAGTGTCACAGGTTGTCGAACCTCTCGAAGGAGCGAATGATTTGAAGAGACTGGTGTTACAACCATTTCTTTTCGTTTCTTTGTTGCATTTCGTTGTTTCATTGTCACTTCAGCTTTTGTTGAACGAATGCTTTTCAAAAAGATGTACTTCTTTATTTTTGGCTTGCAAGTCCCCTTTCGAGCGACTAAAGTCCATCCTTTGTTATCATCTTCAATAACGTCTTCAATTGAGAATTTTTCAAACTCCTTAGACAAAGCACTATTTGATGTGGATAAAACTTCTATCGGGCAACACACAAACCCAAACATTATTGTTGTTTGGTTTGCCGATACTTTATTCTCCTCAAGAAGGATTTTTCCTTGACGGGCTAATTCTATAATTTTGTCTTTAAAGACAAAGCATTTAATGAGAGGATGGCCAATCAAGCGGTGATAACAACAATAATTTGGATCATTGACTTGACCGGCTTTCTCTGGGCGCTTCATGTTGGGAAGTTCAAGGAGCTTCTCATTGAAAAGATCATCAAACATCCCTTGTAAATCGGATTCAAGGAAGGGGTATTCCTTTTCTTGCATTTCTTTTAGAGTGGGTCTTCATACTAACCTATTTTGAGGGGAGTCTACCTTTTCGGTGACCTTTCGGCTCACCTTGGTAGCAATTTTCATGGGAGTTGTGTTTATTGCCATGGACTCCTTATTACTGAATCTTGAAGGAGGCTTGCCCCCTTTTTTATATTCTTGCCTTTCATTGCTTTGACGAGGCAGTTGCACTCGCAGAGCTTGAATAGGAAGCCCATCAGTTGCATTGGCCATGATGCTTAACTCCATATCATGAGCACAAGTAGCTAATTCTTCAAATGTGTTTGGACGTATACCCTGTAGAATGTAGCTTAAGCTCCAATGCATTCTTCGGATGCACATTTCTATGGCAGAGGGTTCAGACAGCCTGTCCTTGCAGTTGAGACTCAGACTTCTCCACCTATCAATGTAGTTGACCACAGGTTTATCCTTCCATTGACGAATGTTAGTCAACTCCAGCATACTAACGGTTCTTCTAGTGCTGTAGAAGCGATTCAAGAACTCTTGCTCCAACTGTTCCCAACTGTTGATGGACCCCGGAGTGAGATCAGTGTACCAATCAAACGCGTTGTCCTTCAAAGATCGGACGAACTGTTTGACTAGCAGGTCACCATAGGTTCCAGCGTTATTGCAGGTTTCGACAAAATGGGCCACATGTTGTTTTGGACTACCTTTCCCATCGAACTGTTGAAATTTAGGCGGTTGATATCCCGCAGGCATTGCTAGGTGGTCAATTCTAGCAGTGGAAGGTTTGGAGTAGGTAAAACTTGACTTTAAACTACCCCCATTTTTGTCTTTGATCACGCCTTCAACAAGTTCCTTCAATTGTTCTACGGGAATAGTTCCCTCGGCGGTCACATATACTTCCTTCACCATGTCTTTGCCTTTAGATGAGGGAATTTCACGCTCTTGGTGCTCCTTAGAGTTCATATGGCTTCCTTCAGGAGCGTGATCTTTTTGGGTGAGCAGTTGAGCGATAAGAGCATTTGGTCCTTGATGTGTTTCATCATGGTTTCCATCATTTTGGACATGTTCGAAACTTGTTCTTCAAGGCTTAAAGTGTTTGTCAACATAGCAGGCATTGTAGCAGAAGAAGCAGCAAAATCTTCAATAGAAAATCTTGATTGAAGAGTTTCATGTGAAGAGGCTGATCAGTGCTTGATGAATCATCATCATGCTTAGAAAATTTGGATTCGGATCCAGATTCGAACATGGCAAGAGCCTTCTCAATCGAGGCAGGAACGTCTTGGATTCCCATCGTGGAAGAATAGCTCATTGGTGATGTTGAACCAAAGACGGGAGTTGGCACCGATGGAGCTTCCATGCTACTTTGGGTGGAAGTTCTCGTCATATTCCTTGTCACAGGACCAATAGTCCGAGTATTGGTGGCAACATGTGCAGTTTCCTGAACAGGTTTGACATTAGCAGTTTTGGAACGATCAGTCATGGACTTGTTGTTCTTTGGTAACATTGGTGATATATGTAGTTGAATATTCAAGGAGAAGAGATGGAAGGCAGAGATGGTCCCACTGGGCATACCAAAATTTTGTACACGATAAAATTTCAAGTCTGCAAAACGACAAGAGAAAGAAATACACAACAAATATGTAATATATAAATTTAAGAAAATATGTGGGTACAATCTCTGGAATTTTCTTGAACTTATAGAGAGTTTCCTTCGATTCTTCTCCTCGAACGCCAATCCAAGGGCTTCGCAGCTTGTACTTGGATCAACCACCGATTCCTTCAAATCTTGATATGAAAGATTTGAAGAATTTGAAAATATTTGAAGACTCAAGCCTTGATATATGGAAGACTTGGAGAGCTTGATGACCCAGACCTTCGTAACTTGGAGCTTCAATACTTGAGCGTATGAGATGCCTCCTGATGTGTCTCTGTGTGTCGACTTGGTAGAGAGACCCCTATTTATAGTTGTGGTATGAGGTAAAGGTTGAAACCATGTATACCACTCTACTTGTCTTGCAAGACGTGCAGTCATATTAGGACTGTGCCAGTTAAATATTATCTCTGCATTTTATATTTATTAATAAAGAGATAAGTAATTTCTCGATTGGCCAAACTCGTGGGGACACGTGACGTGGCGCCGTTTGACTGGCCAAGCTATTGCAGTATATAAGAAATATATGTGGATTAAACAATCCTAAATATTATCTCTTTAATACGAAATAAATATTTAAATATTTATCCAAAAATTTTTGAGTCACGTAGAATGATTTGGTTGGTGGAGACATCCTCGCAATTTCAATTGATTGGAACGTCCCAACTTGACACGTGACAAAATATAATTGGTCATTTAATAACCAATTTTTTTCCAAGTGTATGTGACATATGGCAATATCCGATTGGATAGAAATAAGCCACAAAAATAATTTATAGACCAATGGTAATTTTTTAGAATTTAATTAAAATTCCATTGTCAACAAAGATGCATCATATGGAGAATAGTTATTAGCTACCAATATTATTAAAATGTGTCTAAAATAGTTTAGTAACTAGGGATAACCAGTCATACTCCAATCTAGATACCTTTGCTATTCAAACCACCCCTAAATCTTTGGAACCTCAGGGTTCAATATTTCTAATCTAGTTCCTTAGTCTTTGATGTGTCTTTACAAACATAGTTGGTATTAAATAGTATGGAAGTGTGTTTACCCAAATCATTACACTAATAGGGACTGGTAAAATGATGTTATCTTTTATGCCCTATAGTTCCTGTAAGTGCTAACAAAATTTTTTGAATTAATATTCTTTTGAGATTTTAATAATAAACATTCACATGGCTATTGGCTACGTAGTTATATTGCTAAATACTAAATTCTAATAGTCAAAAAGAGACACAAAAACAAAACCTATTGTCCAATTAAACAAAGAATCCAACTATACAACTAACCATGTAAAGGAAAAAATTTTCTGCTATACAACTAACAATGTAAAGAAACAACTTGCAAAGTTAAGTTATAAAATATAGGATTTCTTTTGATATGCTACATAATAATTAAGTTTTAAATTTAGAGATCTTATTGTACATCGTGTACGTGTTGCTACCAATATGCATAAACCATCCATAATCCATCTTATGTGTGTTGGTAGGGCCTAGAAGGATAAATTGCAAAATAACGCGTTGCCAAAGAAAGCAATAAGTTCAACATCATGAGTTAAGAGCTGTAATAAATTCTCTCACGGATGATCTTTCAAAATTCTGAAACTAAAAAAAAATTCATCAATCCTATAACAATGAGTAATTCCTGATTCTAGAGCCAAAAAAACCATATAATAATCATGCATCATTTGTTGAATTCAAGGTGAGCCAATATTTTATATGTTCTGGTATGTTAGTCTTAGATTATAATAAAGCTCAAAAAGGGTAAAACTCTATGGAAACTTTATAATTTAATAGAAAGGAGATATGAACCTTAATATTGATGATGTTGTGGGGATGAATTCTTTGGAGAGAGACTCAAAGCAAAAGATCATCGAGTTAAAGGACATCAACAAGGCACATGAAGAGCAATTAAAGTGATTTTCTTAGATGGGACTTCTTCTTTCACCGATTTCTTGATTTTTTTCTAGTTGTTTATACTGAAAAATAGAGAAAATAGAGAAACCCTGTATGCTTCACTTATGCCAGTTGACAAGTGAAAGAAATGCAGCAAAAGGTTTCTTACAGGCAAGACCCCAAAAGATGTTGTTCTTGGTTCAAAAGATGAGAAGTATGAATTTAGTTATTGTTGGTGTAATATGTTTTGGATGTGGTTTGTTAAAGAAGGGTTAGAAAGATCATAATCGTTTGTTTAGGAAGATTAGATTAGAAAGATTATTTTGGGGGACTACACAAAATATATAACAAATAATTATAATCTCTTTCAATCATTTGTTAAGGAAGATTGTAACCATGTAGGACTCAAATAGAAGCATTAGAAAGATTAG